TCTCCACGACCAGGTAGGAGAAGCACCGTTAGGTCAGGTCCAGCTGTCCGCATGTCTTCTTACCTGTTTATCCATGATCACCTGTCAGGTAACTGGATCCTGGAGCGCTCCCTGGATGGTGTGACCTTTGACCCCTGGCAGTACTATGCCATCAGTGACTCGGAGTGTTTGTCTCATTATAATGTGACACCAAGACTTGGACCGCCCACCTACAGGAGCGACACTGAGGTCATCTGTACGTCCTACTACTCCAGACTGAACCCCCTGGAAAATGGAGAGGTGAGACAGGATGTCCACCTGTCCTATACCTGTTTGTCTCTGCCCGTCTGGCTTTAACCTGTCTGTCCCTGTCCCTGTCTGTCTCTGCCTGTCTTTGTCTCCGTCTGTCTTTCTGTCTTTAACCTGTCTGTCCCTGTCTGTCTCCCTGTCTTTAACCTGTCTGTCCCTGTCTGTCTCCCTGTCTTTAACCTGTCTGTCCCTGTCTGTCTCCCTGTCTTTAACCTGTCTGTCCCTGTCTGTCTCCCTGTCTTTAACCTGTCTGTCCCTGTCCCTGTCTTGCAGATCCACACCTCTCTGATTAACGGGCGTCCCGGAGCAGAGGATTTGACCCCTGACCTCCTGAACTTTACATCAGCTCGTTATATCAGACTGAGACTTCAGCGAATCAGAACGCTCTACGCTGACCTGATGACGTTAAGCATCTATGACCCACGGGACATCGACCCCATCGTGACTCGGAGGGTAAGACGGGCAGCAGGTACGCTGACGTCATCAGGATCCAGCTCTGCTCTCATTCCTCTGCTGTTCTTTCTCTCAGTATTATTACTCCATCAAGGACATCTCTGTGGGGGGGATGTGCATCTGCTATGGACACGCCCAGAGCTGCCCGCTGGACCTGGTTACCAAGGTAACCGCAGACCCCAGCTGGTAAGACAACACCTGTATACTGTTGGACAGGTGGTCTAAATGGCGCCCTGTTTGTTTGAACAGAAACTGAAGTGTGTGTGTGAACACAACACCTGTGGGGAGAGCTGTAACAAGTGTTGCCCTGGTTACCATCAGCTGCCATGGCAACCAGGAACTCACTCTGAAGGAAACACCTGTGAAAGTGAGACAACGTGAAAGATAACAAAAAAGACATCCCCATTATGGGCTGACCTCCGTCCTCTGACCTGCCTCCTCCCTGTCCCCACCTGTCTCCTTTCTATCCCCACCTGTCCCCTCTCTGTCCCTGTTCTGTCCCCACCTGTCCCCTCTCTGTCCCTGTTCTGTCCCTGTTCTGTCCCCACCTGTCCCCTCTCTGTCCCCTACTGTCTCTCAGAGTGTAACTGTCACAACAAGGCCAGTGACTGTTTCTACAATCAGACGGTTTCGGACCTCAGCCTCAGTCTGGACATCCATGGCGTTCGTCGGGGGGGCGGGGTCTGCATCGACTGTCAACAAAACACAACGGGACTCAACTGCCAGACCTGCAAGGACGGATACTACAGACCTGCTGAGGTGTCGTTTAGTTGTGATGCGGTTCTGTGTTCTGCTGGTTTGGTTAAATGTGGGGTTGTGATCCGTGGCGTTGTGATCAGTGGCGTTGTGATCAGTGGCGTTGTGATCAGTGGCGTTGTGATCAGTGGCGTTGTGTGACTGCAGGTGTCTCCGTACTCTGACTTCCCCTGCCTGGAGTGTAACTGTGACCTGAGAGGATCTGAATCACCGGTTTGCAGCAGAGACGACGCAGAAGCAGGTGCCTCTGATGGGTTCTGAAGGCTGGTTCCGGGTGTCGGCAGTGATGTCCCCCCGGGGCTCTGATGGTTCTGTTGTGCGCGTCCAGGTGTGTCTGCAGGTCAGTGTCCATGTAAGGAAGGCTTCTCTGGGCAGCGGTGTGATCGCTGTGCGTTTGGATTCAGAGACTTCCCGCGGTGCGTTCGCTGTGAGTGCAACCTGGCAGGAAGCACCAACAGCGACCCCTGCAGCCCCTGCACCTGCAAGGTGACGATCCGTCTGATCCGCGCCGCACAGCAGACGCCTCTGAGGCCCTGGGTCACCGTCTCACCTGTCTCCTCCTCAGGTCAATGTGATGGGAGTCCACTGTGACGCCTGTAAACCGGGCTTCTATAACCTGCAGCAGGAGAACCCGCTGGGCTGCACCCACTGCTTCTGTTTTGGTGTCTCTGATGTCTGTGAGAGCTCTGCTTGGTCCATCACTCAGGTAACACCTCACACCTTTGCTCAGGTCGGAACCAGTCCCACATCAACAGGGAACCGGGTTCTGATGAGGTCCAGTGTTCAGGTGTTTTTCCCAGATGCTGTCCTCCAACCATCCGGGTCGCTCCAAGCCTCTCTGGTCATCAGTGGGAATGACCTCAGCGTTCCCAGGAATGCCTCCTCTGGCGGCGCACACAGACACATGCTCTGGTGGGCCGCCCCCAGCCGTTTCCTTGGCAACAAGGTAGGCTCACATGTCCGATGTCCGACAAAGTTATTATTGCATCTTCATTCAGTTCTATTCAGTTTATTTCTATAGCGCCAATTCACAACGGGTCACTTTATAGAAACAAATCAACCAGATCATCCAGTCAGATTGATTCAAAGTTTTCTATCTAAGGAAAACCAGCTGATTGCATCGACTCATTGACTCTTCAGCAATCCCTCACACTAAGCATGCTTGTAGCGACAGTGGAGAGGAAAAACTCCCTTTGAACAGGAAGAAACCTCCAGCAGAACCAGGCTCAGTGTGAGCGGCCATCTGCTGAGGCCCACTGGGGTTCAAGGAGACAGAAGCAGACATAGAAAAAGAAGCATAGATACAAAAGGCAACTGTCAACCAGCTCCACAGGCGGCCCCGTCCAGGAAACACACAGCCAGGCAGACGAGCTCCGAGCCAGCTCCCATGTCAGAGGATGAAGAGAGCACATCCAGTTAGTCACAGTCAGAGAAACAGGACTACACTGGAAAACAGGCCAAGCTCCAACATCTAGAAACAAAGGTGTTGATGGCAGCAGCACAGCTGATATTTCTCTCCAGGATGGAGTCACAGCCAAACAGGAACAGACCAGATGAAGCTACTATGAGAAAAAGCAGAGAGAGCAGAACGTTAGAGATTGAACTAACAGATTCTGCAGAGTGGGAGAATAGAGATAGAATGAAGCAGAATGATGAAAAAGGGGTCCCTATGTCCTCCAGCAGTCTAAGCCTATAGCAGCATAACTATATGTCTTTTTTCATGTTTTTCATGTTATGTTTCCATGTCCGCTAAATGTTTCCTTCTCGGTAGCTGGTGTCCTATGGAGGACAGTTCACCTGCTCTGTGGTTTATGACGTCCCCCTGGACAACGAGGACCAGACTCTGCCTGTCCTTGCTGATGTCATCATGGAGGTGAGAACATGCCACAGCGGCCGCTAACAGACGTTTCTGAACTGAATACCTAAGATCCACACTTCTTCAGAGGGTTAAAGTAACCAATGTTTCCACATGTAGACGTAACTGGAGTGGTTAGAGGTCAGAGGTCATGGCCCAGACCCAGTCTGTAAGGGTTGGCTGTGTCTAGAAACATGGTGGCAGAGGGACCTAGGTTAGCTAAGCTGCATCTGAAGAAGGACGATGTCCTCTGGACAGATGAGACAAGGGTAGAGATGTTGGACCATGATGGACTGAACCATCTCATGAAGGTCATGTTTTTATGCTGTGGGATGTTCTGGTGTTTAAATGAAGATGGTTGGTAGAACCCAGCCTTTCTACGCTGTTATGACATCAGACATAAAGACCAACTATCAAAGTGTCGTCTTATTCTGTTTCCAGGGTAACGGCCAAACTCTCCGTCTCTCGCCCCCTCTGCTGCTCTTCCTCTCTCCCCTGGCTGAGCAGTCTGTCAGTGTGGAGATGCTTCCACGGCGGTTTGTGGACGATCAAAGCGGTGGTCCCATAACTCGAGATGACCTGATGCTGGTTCTGGCTGATCTGACCTCGCTATTGGTCCGAGTCCACCTGAACGCTTCTGCTGGAGGACCGATACGGTGAGGAACGTCCTGCTGGATCAGGAGGAGGAGCTTCTGCCCTTCCAGACAACAAACAATGACTCTTCCATCTGCTCCTGATCTCCAGACTCAGCTCAGTGTCCCTGGATGGAGCGGACTCTGGCTCCGGTTCTGGTCTTCAGGCAGCCGCCGTGGAGATGTGCGAATGTCCGTCGGGTTACAGTGGAACTTCCTGCGAGGTCAGCAGCTCCAAGTTCACTTGATTTCTGACCTGGATCTTCTGGTGGTTTCTCACCTGATGTTCCAGGGTCCGGTTTAAGGTCCAGGGTCCGGTTTAAGGTCCAGGGTCCGGTTTAAGGTCCAGGGTCCGGTTTAAGGTCCAGGGTCCGGTTTAAGTTTGGGCAATATCTCAAAATGTTCCAACGATAGATTCGTGTAATCGTCCAACCTTAGTCCGGTTCCTGGTTCTGGTTCTGGACTAACAGGCGTTTGTGCGTTCCAGGCCTGCCTACCGGGATTCTTCAGAGTAGGCGGGGTTCTGTTTGGAGGCAACTGTATGCAGTGTGAATGCAATTCCCACTCCACTCAGTGTGACATCAGTGGGGTCTGTGAGGTGAGTCCCAACCAAAGACCCAGAGTTCCACCTCCACCTGGAGTCGGCTGACCGCTCACCTGTCTGCCGCAGGGCTGCACAAACAACACCGCCGGTCCTCACTGTGATCAGTGCCTTCCTGGTTTCTACGGTGACCCAACAAAGGAGGAGTGTCGGAGGTGTCCGTGTCCTTTGACGGAGCCGTCCAACAGGTCTGTCTCTCTGTCCTCCTCAGATGAAGAGCGTCAGAGAGTCTTAGTCTGAAGGGAACTTGTTACCTGTCCAATTATTCTGGACAGTTCTGCCTCAGCTTTGACTCACTTGTCTCCTTCAGTTTCAGTCCTATCAGTGTGTCTCAGTTGTATTGTCCCCTGTCTGCTTCAGTTTCAGTCCTATCAGTGTGTCTCAGTTGTATTGTCCCCTGTCTCTGCTTCAGTTT